GTCCGTTGCCCAGCCTCTGCCCAGCTATATGTAGCGCTGGGCGAGGCTGGACCTACCTGGTGCTGGCCTCAAAACGGCCCAGCCGGTCTGGGTCCCTACCGGATGTATGCAGCAGGGCGCCAAAAAAGCGCCCCTGGCCTTTTTGTAGGCCCTGCCTCCGGCACCCAGTCCGAAGGTCATGCCTTGGGGACTGCAAGTCCGAAACGGCACCTGCACAGACAACGACGGGTCAGCAGGTAAGTAAATATATAAATAAATAAATAAATGCTGCCTATATTTGCCGTATGTGGCCTGGGGGCCGCCGTGGGCCTCCAGGGCGCATGTCTGATGGGCATGCGACCTGGGGGGCCCTCAGCAACCGTTGGGTCCCTCAAACAGGGCCCATGTGCAGGCGCAGCATGTAACACCCCCCACTCCTTATGAAGTCAAGCCGGGTCGAGGGCGAAGCCGACGATCTGAAGGTGCGACATGGAGCCGAAGATACCGGCTTGCCTTGCAACTTGCGTTCGTAATGTGCGAGAACATCTGGAGCTGTTGCTTGGAGTTTCGCACGGGTCAATCAATGGTCGGCTTCGTGGGTGCAGTACACAAAGTGTACCAAGTATTCGGTTGGCCTGTTGTCGTAGCGTCGCTGGGAGATGATGTCGCCGACCTCTTGAAAACCGTCCATCGAGGGTGGGTCTTGCTATTGTCACCTGGGGAAGTCGTCGTGTTCCGCTGGCATGTAAAGAGCCAACTTGGAGCAGTGAAAGACCGGGTAGACGGGCAAGTGGGCGGGCACCTGAATGACAAAGGAAGGTCCTTCGGGCGCATCCCCAGCGGGTGCCATGATCGGCCAGGGCCCCCATCCATTTCGGGAGGAGCTTGTTAGAGATATCTTGTTCGAGGTTGAATTCCGTGGTGGAAACCCAGACGAGGTCGCCGACACGGAATGGACAAGGAAGACGCTGGCGATTGGCCTGTTGGTTCATGCGTTGCTGCATCCTTGCCATCTGGTCACGTGCCTTGACGAGGAGCTCTTGCATCCGACGAATGAAGAGAAGATGGTCGTCGCTCTCGGCTGCCCGTGGAATAATCGTGTCCAACGGAGAAGTGACCGGCGAGCCATGCTCGAATTCAAAGGGCGACATCCTGATAGTCGGATGGATAGACGAGTTGTATGCCAACTCAACATCCGACAGCCGCTCAACCCAATCCTTTTGGTCAGGACGGATGAGAGTGTGAAGTAGGACCTGTGCGGTCTGATGCGCCCTCTCCGTTTGGCCATCGGTTTGGGGGTGGCGAGCCAATCTCGACTTGAGGGATGAGCCCCATCGCTTGATGAGCACCAACCAAAAGTCGGACATGAACCGAGTGCCGCGGTCACAAACGATTTCCTTGGGGTAACCCTTGGTTCGAATCCAACCGGCGTAAAGAACCTCGACCAACTCCGGTGCCTTGGCATGATAGCAACAAGGCAAAAACATGGCAAACTTGGTGAGTTGGTCGACCACCGTGAGAATCCCATCCACACCAGTCTTGTGCTTGGGGAACGGCTCGGTAATGTCCATGGCAATCGCTTCCCTTCGCCGCAAGGGGACTGGTAATGGTCGCAACTCGCCGTACGGACGATGGTTTCGAGATTTGCAACGTCGACAAACCTCGCATGACTCGCAGTAGCGTGTGACGTCGTCGAGAAGACCGGGCCACCAAAAGCGCTCGCGGAGTCGGCCAATCGTACGATTGACGCCAAAGTGTCTGGTGGCGGGAGCGTCGTGGAACTTGCCAAGAAGTCGTGTGCGCAAGTGTGAATCTCACGGTACACAAGAAGATCCTTCCCTCGCGAGTGGACAAACAAATATCCCTCTTGGATCCGATAGTGCGATGGCATCGGATTGGGAGAGGAACAATTTGCGTACTTGTCGCAAAACTCGGGGTTGGCTTGGTAGCCGTGGATGAAGCTGTCCCGCAAGTCATCGTTAATCTCAAAAGTCGAGTAGACTGCAGTACAATGGTCCGAACGCCGTGAAAGAGCATCTGCAAAACGGTTTGACGTGCCCGGAATGTGATCGGGGAAGAAGTCAAATTGGTCGATAAAGGCCATCCAACGGGCAATGGTGCTATTGACTGTGTCTTGGGTCTTGTAGAAGACCAACGGATTATTATCCGTCACCCATCGGAACTGCCGCCGACCGAGAAGAAAATGCCGCCAGCGCTTGAGTGTGTGTACGAAGGCCAATAGTTCCTTCTTCGTCCGTCGTCAATCGAGTCCACGACAAGCACTTTCTTGCTAAAGTACTCGATTGGGTGCCAGTCCACGCCATCATGTTGCTCGAGGACGACACCAATGCCATAGCCGGACGTATCGGTAGTGAAGCGTGTCCGCAAAAGCGGATCATAGATACGCAACACCTCCGCGGATAGTAATGCGGCTTTGAGGGCCAAAAAGGAAGCCCGCGCATTGTCGTCGAAGTCAAATGGCTGGACCTCGCATTGAAGCTTGGATAAGTGAGCCGCAATCTTCGAGTATCCCTTGATGAAGCGTTGATAGTAGTCGGCGAAGCCAAGAAAGGAACGGACATTGGTGACGTTCTTCGGCTCCGGCCACTCTTGGATGGCTTGAATCTTGTCCGACAACGGACTGATGCCCTCCGGTGTGACAAAATGGCCCAAGTACTCCAACTTTTGACGCACGAATTTGCACTTGCCGCGGTTGGCTTTGTACCTGGCGCGACGGAGCGTCTCCAACACATGTCGAAGGTGCTCGAGGTGTTCCTCCAAGGTCCGGCTATAGACGAGAAAAACGTCTAAGTAGACCAACACAAACCGGTCCAACATCATGCGAAACTCATTGGTCATCACCGCTTGAAAAGTTGCAGAGGCATTGGTGAGGCCAAAAGGCATAACAACCCACTCAAAATGCCTGTACCGCATCTTGAACGCAGATTTGTAGCGATCTTGCAGGCGGATCGAGATCTGATGATAGCCCGACTTCAAGTCAAACTTCGAAAACAATTTTGCGGCGCCCAAACGCTCGAGAAGATCGTCAATGCGCGGAAGAGGTCCCGCGTTCTTGACGGTTTGTGCGTTGAGCTTGCGGTAGTCGATGCACAAGCGAAGATCCTTGTTCTTCTTCTGTACGAAGAGAAGTGGCGCACCGTATGGTGAGCTGCTAGGGCGGATCCAACCCTTGTCCAACAGATCATCGAGTTGCGAGCGGAGAACCGCGAGCTCTTCCTCGCTCATGCGATAGATGCATCCTTTCGGCAGCACGACACCGGCCTCAAGAATGATCTCGTGGGAGATCGGCCAATCCGACACCACACCGGTAGGAGACTCAAAGATGTCGGTGAACTCGTCGAGTAACCGCACCACTCGGGGGTCCGAAGACAAGTCTATTGGTGAAGATTCTGTCGCCGCGACGGTCCGTAGAAAACATAGGCCTATCTCGTCGGTCTGCTCGTAAGCGCAAGTGGTCGGAAAATACTTGATCGTTAGAACTTGACACCATATCGAAGGGTGCGGAAGAGGAATGGTACACAACACCTCAGCACCGAAGGTGTTGCGAACGGTAAGTGTCTGCCGATGGAAGTTAACCGTATGATCCGCACTTGCAAGCCAAGGTATCCCCAAAATGATGTCGAAGTCCGTGTCCAAGAGGACTGTGTCCAAGACGTCCGTGTCCAAGACGTCAAACGTCACCGGTTCGCATGCATGAGGTGCGAAGTAAAAAGGCACGGCTTCGATGCAGCCATTGAGGAGTTGTTGCGTCCGACCATCCGCCAACTTGATCGTCGTCGGGTTTGGCTTCCTTCGAACCTGTGCGCCGAGGCCGACCCTTTGGATAAAGGATTGGCTGATGAAATTGCAAGTCACACCGCTATCCAACAAAGCACTACAGGACGCTTGCCCAACTTGGATGCGGACATAAAGGAGCGGTGCGTTGTTATCATCGTACCGCTGCGTGTGAAACTCGCGGGCCACCTTGCTAACGTACGCGAGGATGTCCCCCACCGCAGCTTCGTCAAGATGGTGGTGCATAGAAGGCTAAGTATGTGTGGAGATGGGCGCATAATGCTGCGCATTGCAGTTCCGGTAAGCAGCCCGTGGAAGGGAGAGGAAGCCATGCAAAATCCTCGGACGTCAACAGGTTCAAGACGAACTCGTGCGTCGAATCCCTTGGAGAACCACTTGAAGACGATACACTGACGCTGCCTCCGGACAGAGAAGAAACCGCACACACATCTTGTCCTTGAGCTTGAGAACCCAGCGAAGGAACGAGTCGGGCAGCATAGTCCTCGTAAGAATATAAGAGAGGATTGTCGACTTCCACATGTGCCTCGGAATGAAGAGAGGTCGCTCGCGAAGCAACCGGTTCCGTAGGCGTCGAGAGTGCAGCCGCATCACTCTCGGCAGTGCTCACTTTCCCAAAGGGAATTTGCCTTTGACTTGCGTGGGGCACTGCGCAGTGTCGTGCACTGTGCTGTTGCACCACAAACAGTATCGGTACTTAGTACGGATGCGGTAACCGCCTTCCGAGAGACCGTAATGTGTCCAAGGCTCTTGAGCTGCTGGCCCGGTCCCGGGGGATGAATTGGTGTTTGTCTTCGGTTTGCCGCACCCTCGCCCTCTAGCAGGGCGGCGACCATCCCGGGCGGCTGCCAATCTGTCTCCTTCATCAGAAGAGGCAGCCTCGTTTGAAGGGTTGGTCGGCGTAGTTGCTGTGACCACGGCCACCTTCGGCCGATGCTGATCTCTGCCCTGGCTTGCAGCAGACGAACGGCCCAAAGTCTTGGGTTCGGTGTTCGTCTTGATGACTTGCGAGGCTTTATCAAAAAGCTGCTCACTTGTGGTGAGCGTCTCTGCAACTTGCGTCAAGGCATTCTGCAACGCCGGACAGCTCCTCCTGATGAAGAAGTGTTTAATGGCGACAAAGGTCGACGACAAGTTGGGCGTGGATGCCAAGCGTTGGTACTCAGTTATCCAGTTCGTGCTTGGCAGGTCGTTCTGATAGAACCGTTGAAGTTTCTCGGCTGCCTGCAGCTCGGGTGGCTCCACTTGGAACCGCTTATGCCATGCTGTCTTGAGATCAGGCCAACTGATCTGTGTATGCAGCTTGGAGACTGCGACGGTGTGCGTGGACAACATATTGTCCAGCCAAGCCTGACACGCGCACCCCGAGCGGGAGTATAAGTATGCGTGCCGGTTTGGGTTGCTGACTTTGTGAATGTCCAACTTCAACTCGAACTGGCGCCACCATGGAATCGGGTCTGTCTTCGCTGCATCGCAGAAGATCGGCATGCCATCAAACTTCGGGATGCTCTCGCGAGGGGTCGTGGTCGGACTGGCTGCGGCGGCACAAATCTGCTGGTCAATCCGCTGATTTGTCGCTCGAGCGCCGTCCTTGAGCGTCCCGACGTCAATTTCCAAGACGTTGACGTGGTCCGTCAAGTTGGAGGGTCCGGCGGGGGTGGCCGCTGCAGGCTGCTGTTCCAGCCGGCGTACCCGGTCAAGCAGGTCGTCGATAAGTCGAGCCTGCTTCCTGACCAGGGTGTCCATGCAGAGGATGTCCTCCTGCTGCGCTGTGCAGGTGGCGACCACGTCGGCCACATGTTCCATTGCGGTTGCAAGGCCGCGCACAGCAGCGGGGGCGTCCTTCTCTTCGACATCCACTGCCCATTCGCTGGCAACCAGCTCGATGTCCCCCTCAGACTCGAAGAGTTTGTCTCGGCGTAGTCGGCGGCGTTCGTCTGCGGCCTTCCTTGCTGCCTCGGCGTCCTCCTGTCGCTCAGCGAGGTGACGCTGTTCCTCTGCCTCCTCATCTTTCTTCTTACGTGCGGCTGTTGCCGCTGCTGCCCGTTGCTTGAACTCTGTCACCATGTCCAGCATGCGGGCCTCATAGGCCTCGGGAGTCCCTCCCATCTGCTGATCCATGCCGCCTGTCTTTGAGCGGGTGAGCACCATGCACTGACGTGACCTGCTGATGCGGCGACTTACCAATGCCTTAGGCGAGGACAGGCGGGAGGAAGAGAAGTAGAGAAGTGTGACAGCAGGGGTGGGGTGGGTGGGAACACTGATCACCCAGATAAGGAACCTCTAATCAAATTTGAAAAATTCGAACTTTTAAACAATATTAATTTTGAAAAATAATAATAAAAAATAATTTGAGATTTCAAGTTCGGCAGGCTCTCAATCCCCCCAGCAATAGAAATCCGAAAAAAAAAAAACTTCCAAATTTCAGACTGCAAACGAATAATAATAATAATAATGAATAATGAATGATGGAACTGCGAAAATTGTGCGCACGTTCCGGAAATTCCGAAAAAGTAAAAATTATTCTGAATCAATCAGATGAGAGTGCGCAGCAAAAAAAATAAACTGCAATGAGAGATCTTCCGAAAAAAAATAATTTTTGAATCTCAAAGAGTCAAAATAACAGTAAGCAATGAATTTCGAATTTCTGTTACCGTAAAAAAATTGCGTGAAGAAATTAGCGCGCCAATAGCTTCAAAAACAAATTTGGAAATTTCGGAATATCGGAAAATAGTGAGCAGCAACGCAAATCGAAATTTCCGTGATGCGTGAGTCGACAAAAAATAACGGCAACACGCAATATGCTGACAGATGAAAAATGTTTCGGATTTTTCAGCAATGAAATTTCAAAATTCCAAAAAAACAAAAATCGGAAATTTCAAATGCTGCGCTATTTCGGAATTTGCGATTTGCAACAAACAACGAATTTGCGCGAAAAGGAAAGAAATCCGAAAGCAAGGATTTTTTTTTTCCATTTTGGCAGTTAGGTAAAAAATTCACGATTTTGGGGACTAATTAGTATGACCTAATTAACTAATCAATCAATCAACCAATCAATCAATCAATCATTCAATCAATCAATCAATCAATGATGAGTAGTCCCCGCACACGTGTCAGATCAGGTTGTCCTGATTCACGTGCGGGGCTCCGGTACCAACTGATACATGCCCAGTTGGGCAATGTATGTACATCCAAGGATCCGCAATGTGATGAAAAGGACTGAATGGACAATTGCAATGTCAGTGCAACATCAACA